AAGGGCAAACTTTTCACATATGTTATCATATAATCATATTTTTTTAAGATTCATATTTGCCCTTCTATAAATATGATTAATTATGCGATTATAATTATGAACATAAAATGTTTAATGTGATTATAAGCGTGATCATACACTCTTATGTATGTAATCCTAAAATATTTATGTATATGATTATAACTGTGATCATAAAATATGTTTATGCGATTATAAATTTGTAATTGTGATTATACAAATTACTAAATGTGATCACATTTGTGATAAAAATATGTACATTTATGTGATCACAACCATGTTCATAACAAGAAAATATGATCGCAAGTGAGATCGTAAAATTTTTTTGTGATCACAACTGTGATATAATAAAAACTAAATGTGATTATAAACATGATCACACTCTTATGTACGAATATCGATCTTCTAGGGTTCATTATGACATTGCCTTTAGGATTATGCATTTAAAAATTAGTTTTACATTGAATTAGGGTCGCGTAAGACAAAATTTCTTCTAGGGTTTATTGAGGTAGGGTATGGTTACATTACATTTAGAGTTTACATTGCATTAAGATAGTAGAGTATAGTTAATTAGTTATAATATATTACATTTAGGGTTCATTGGGGTAAGGTATAGCTACTTTGCATTTTGACTTATATGCAATATATGATATATAACATATAACATATATATGATCCTAAATGTGATCATATAACAAATATATGATCCTAGTTTTGATCATTTTTAATGTTATGTGCACTTACGATTATAGATGTGATCATATTATAATTTGTTTAATTATATTAATGTTTAAGTATAATCACAACTTTAATCATATTGATGATATCTGTAATATACTATATATAGTTTGTTAAGATTGCAGATGTAAAATATTTAAAGAATAATGGGTTACTAGAATAAATATTTATCAACCTCAATCTTATTTTTTCTGTCTATAATTGCAAAGAGTGATCTAATGACATTTGGACGAACAAACTGCACGACGAGTGGCTGTAGGACACAGGGGAAGAGGAAGACCGAGGAGGCAGACGAGTGAGCCGTCGCGACGTGGACAGGAGACTGCAGGGACTTCGACACCTTTGCCAGAGGTTTAGGAGGAGGATAACGTGACTCGAGAGCAGTGAGACTTGGAGGAGGCACTTAGGCGTTCCACACAGGATCTTGAGTACTTAGAGTAGGAGGCGGTGAAGAGGGCTCTTGAGGCGTCATGACAAGTGTCATCTAGCCGAGCAACACCTGATGTAATTGATTATGATAGTGACGACTCTTATTGGGATGAGATCACCCGTTAAGTGTGTAGGTTAGTCAAAAGTTGTATTTCATTTATTTTACAGTTTAGACTTTATAAGTTTGTTTGTTTCCTTATTTAGTAAGAATATTTAGCTTGATTTAACCTTCTTCTATAGGTGATGCCCTTACTTATGAGTTTTGATACTAACAACTCTATGTGATTGGTAACTGATAAGCACATTTATGTTTATTATTGGGAATCACATTTATTATGGTAATCTTAAACGAATTTCTTTTGTATTTGCTTCATATTAATATGGTGGAAGCATTGGAAGTTACTTTTTTATATATATAATGTGCGGATGTTCAAAACTTCGGTTTACAAATGGATGTATTTTTGTTTTATTTATGTTATACATATTGACGACGCTTTTATTTTGTAAATTATTGTAATTTGATGTGTGGATCTTGATGTAAGTGTTTAAATTCTTATGGCATCCGTAAGTGTTGCATTTATGTGATGGTATGGAGTTTTTATTCATGTATGTTTATGAGTACGAGACAATGGTCCATTTGTTGTGAAAACAAAAGAGACTCTGCCCGATTTCTTATAGGCAAAAGAATTTGGTGTTTTGGAGTTTCAATTTTGAGATTGTTATTTTAAAATTGTATGGTTTGTGTGTTGTATTCAAAATTTTTATTTCAGGTATGTTTATAAGTATGGGACAAGGGTCCATTTGTTGTGAAAATAAACAAGACTCTGCCCCATTTTTTATAAGTACGGGACAATGGTTCATTTGTTTTATATACTTAGATTTTGGCGACAAAGGATATATACTTATATTTTGGTGACAAATGATATACAACCTCTCATTTTATTAACAACATTTCATCACCATGTACATTTGTTGGCATATGGGTCATTTTTAGTTGTAAGTTAAATTTGGGGCATAGTATAAACCATAAAGCATAATTGAAAAAATCAACTATGATATAGAGTATGTTTACTTGAATTAAACAATAGTTATACTGTTATAGTAAAATTCCGTGATTTATAGCAACAAACCTTCATAGCTCAATTGATTAGAGCTTTCACTTTAAAGTAAATGGGAGGTCTTGAGTTCAAGTCGATATTAACAAACAAGCCTTCGGGCTTGGTTCTTATTTAGGGGGCCATGCCTCCCATGGTGGTGGATTAGCCTTCGGGTTCAGGATCTATGGAACTCAGAAAGGGAAGCAAGTCTTCATAGAGTGCTACTCTGGTGATATGGAGGCGGTATGGGTACTTAAGCAAAAAATTTAATATGTGTTTCTTTTAGTATGTGATGCGTGTGTGGGACCAATTAACAACTGACACGTGTTGTAAATTAGGTGAGAAATGACCATTTACCCACTAGGGTTCACCACACCCATACATAGGTTTTAGTTTTTTTGGACATATGGCATCTTTTGATTCGGCCCATATGCCCACATACAACTAGGACACATAGATAAAATTCTTTGGGTACTTAAGTAGCCATGACTTACTTAAGATGTAACTCTTCGGGGGTTTATGACTTAGCCTTCGGACCTTTAAATAAACTATTTTTTTTTTCACGGAATATTCCGATATTTGGTATTTACCGTAATTATCTACTTCCAATTCCGACATTTATCTGATATATGCAGTTGAATAGTCCGGTTTTTCAGAAACTGGATATCCGGTTTTGAATATATGAATTCCGAGCGAGCTGCTTTTGAACCTCGACTGAAACCTTAATAATTTGCTTGCTTTGGGAAGAAGAAGAAGAAGAAAGAGAGAGAGAGAGAGACTCAGAGACAGATATGTCTCGATTATATTACCTCACCGCCAAGAACAACAACAAATTCACAAACAAAATTACATGTTCATCTTCTTATTTTGTTTCTAATCATCGATTTTCGTCTTTCCCATCTCCTCAAACTATCCCTTCTCCACCTCTAGCATCCAAAAAGAAATTCTCTTTACTAAAGTTTGGGATCTTTTCGGCTTTTCTTGGAACTGCTGCTACAGCTGGATATGCTACTTACAGTTAAGTCTTTTTTTTTTTTT